TTCTAGTTCTTATACTAGGGAGCCAATATGATGTTTATAAATGTGAGTTTTATTTATTTCACTTATGATTATGGTCTCTAGTGGGGACCATTTACTTATAAATGCCTCCAGTTTATCTTTCTTTATAGCTGAGTAATATTCCATTAGATTTTCAGTTCTGTAATCCATTTCTGTCCAGAGTGAACTGGTCCCAAGAATGAGGTACCCATGGATGAATAGATAAGCACGAGAAAAAAGAAAAACAAGGGAGGCAAAATTCTGGGATCAGGGGGCTAGCAGCCTCTTGGACTGAAGCCCTGACTACTATTTTCAGTAACCTTTTATTGAGAAAGAACAAAGCATGCAGGTATTACAAATGGGAGGATATCTACAAATGGGAGGATATCAACAATTTAGCAAGGACAATACAACTCAATTATCATAAGTATGAGATTTGACTTAGTAAGCCATCATGTTATCATTCCTTCGGGCATGTCTCAGTAAAACATTTAGTGTTGACCTTGTGGCTTTCCACAAGGACGCAGGTGCTTCAATCATTTCCTTTCCATCAATGCTTTTGCTAGACTTCCTCTGGAACCAAAGAGTCATATGGCTTGGTCAGGCCTGAGATAATACATTGAAAGAGTAACTATAGAAAGTCCTTCTCCACATTAGATAAAAATACTACATCTTTTTATCCATTCTTCAGTTGATGGGCACTTTGGTTGTTTCTAAGATTTAGCTGTTACAAATTGTGTTGCTAAAAACATGGGCACACATATATCATTGTGGTATGATGTTTTTAGTTCTTCTGGAAAAATACCTAGGAGGGGAATAAGTGGGTTGAATGGGACCTTTAATCTTAGTTTACTGAGGAATCTCCAGACTGGATTCCACAGTGGTTGCAGAAATTAAGGTATTGGGATGGAGTCCCCACGCAGTTGATGGAATGTAGCTGTCTCCTCAGGGCCTCAGTTATGAACCACAGTGTTGGTGGAGCACAGGCCTCTGATCTGAATTCCACAGGCAGTTGATTGAGTGTGCTCAGACCTCAGCTGTGAACTGTAATGTTGGTGGAAAGTGGGGTGCAGGTCTTGGTCTAAGTCTTGGGGTCAGTTGGCCCCTCACTAAAATGCACCTGACCAAGCACACTCTCAAGGGGACATGAAAATCACCTGCTTGGACTAGAGTAACTGACCAGTTGTTGTGATGCACATTTTCCACTGTTACATTGCAATGTTGCATTTTTCCCTGGAGGCCTCTGGAGTTTCTTCTTTTACTTTGTCTCTGTAGAATTGATCTTCCTTTCTCTGCCACTATTTAGGAGCTGGGGCAGGGGGGAATTGTGGTTGCCTCTTCCTTTTTTTCCTGTGTTGTGGTCTGTCTCTTTTTAATTTCTGTGTTAATATCTCAGTGTTCCCTTCAGGTCCTTCTTGGGTCCTAGAGATCTACCTCTGTCTCTTTTTCCTTTTCCAAGTTGGTATTTTCCAGAGTCTGTATTACAAATTTTGGAAAGGCTGATTTGTTACTGCCTACCACTCCACGATCTTCCCAGAAGTCAGGAGGGCTTTTCTTGATGCATTCCACTAAAAATTTATCAGTCATTCTTTCTCTCATCCTTCCCTAAAGGGACCTAGGTTTTTTACCCAGGGTACCTGTACTTTAGGGAAAGGGAAATGGTTAGACATATCAGGAACTACTTGACACTGGTTCTGAACTAATGCTGATTCAGAGGATCCAAAATGTCATAGTGGCCCTCCAGGAAATATAGACAGCTGAGATCAAGTGATCAATGGAGGTTGAGCAAAGGACTAACTCATTAAGGGATTTAGTAGATCTTCAAATCCATCTTGGAGTTATTCCCCCTGTTCCAGAATGCACAACTGGTATAAATATACTTAGTACTTGGCAGAATCCTCACATTCATTTCTTAACTTGTAGTGTGAAGGCTATATTATTGGAAAGGCCAAATGCAAGCCCTCAGAGTTGCCTTTGCCTGGTATAATAATAAAACAAAAATAATAGTGTATCCCTGGGAGTATTGCAGAGATTAGTGCTACTGTCAAGGACTTGAAGGATGCAGAGCTGGTGGTTCCCACCACACTTCCATTTAATTCTCCCATTTGGCCTGTGAGGAAGATGAATAGGTCTTGGAGAATGATGTTGAGTTAATATAAACTGAATCAAGTAGTCACTCTGATTGCAGCTGCTGTCATAGCTGTGGGTTCCTTACTTGAGCCGATTAACACATTTCCTGGTACTTGGTATGCAGCTATTGATTTGGAAAATGCCTTCTTCTCATGTCTATCCATAAGGGCCATCAAAAACTGTTTGTTTTCAGC